ACCTTGGATAATCCAGGGACTCTGTTGGTATCTTGTCCACTAAACAGAGATAACTACTTGACCTGGAAGCGTGCGATGAGAAATGCCTTAAGAGCCAAGAACATGTATTGCTTTGTCAATGGTTCACTGTTGAAGCCTGATGTAGAGTCACCACAAGAATCACTTTGGATCAAATGCAATTCGATGGTGATTTCTTGGATTTTCAATTCATTGGCATGTGAACTCCATGATAGTGTTGTCTATGCAAACATGACCAATGAAATCTGGAAAGATCTTGAAGAGAGGTTCTCGTAGAAGAATGCACCAAGAACCTACTAGACCAAGAAAAACCTTGCAACATTGTAGCAAGGAAGTCTTTCGGTAGCAGCCTACTTCACCAAGTTGAAGGCCCTATGGGATGAGCTCCAAACTTTGGTTCTTGTACCTGAGTGCACTTGCGAAATAGCTAAACAATTTGTGGCCATGCACGAAGATGAGAAGCTACATCAGTTTCTCATGGGACTCAGTGATGTCTTCAACAATGTTAGATCCAATATTCTTGGTTTGGTTCCTTTGCTAAACATCAATAGGGCATACGCTCTAGCAGTCCAGGAAGAAAAACACTTTTCTATCATCAACACACCAATCAATATAGATCTTGATGGTGGAGTAGCACTCTTTGCAAATTTTTCCAAGAACCATTTGATGTCTAATACTAGACCAAGCCTAAAGTGAAATGTGAGCACTACAAGAAACCGGGGTCGATTATGTCGCAACCAATGCCTCTAGTAAGGCTCTCGTTACCTTTCCCAACCAACCTTCTTGGATCTTTGATAGTGGAGCTTTAGATCATATGGTCTTTGATATGAAATTCCTTACTATTCACAAAGTATTGGCCCAACCTAAGTCAGTTTGCTTGCCTAGTGGAGTGGTTTTGCAAGCTACACATCAAGGGTCAATTATGATGACCCCCGATATTACTCTTCATGAGGTTCTCCATATACCTTGTTTCCATTGCAGTTTGATCTCCATTAAAAAATTAATTAATCAATTGCGATGCACTAGCCTTTTCCTGTCAACTACTTGTGTGATTTAGGACCTAATGTCGAGGAAAGTGATTGGCAAGGGTGAAGCACTAAATGGAATCTACCACTTCACCATTGATGCTCCATGTTCCTTTGCTTTAACTGCCCACAGTGAAGTTACTAGTGAACATGGCACAAGTGCCTAGGCCATGCTTTTAGACATTCTCTTTCATTAGTTCATGGCATTTCCACTATTCCTGCAGGATTGCCATGTGATACTTTCCATCATGCAAAGCAATCGTGTATGCCATTTCCCATAAGCATCTCTTAAGCAACGAAACAGATTCATTTAGTTCATGTTGACATTTGGGGCAGTTATTCTACTCCTTCTCACAGTTATGCACGATATTTTCTCCCCATGGTAGATGACTTTTCCCATAGCACTTGGTTGTATTTGATGCACAATAAAACTCAAGTTCTTTATTATTTTTCTCATTTATGAAATATGGTCAAAACACAATTTCAATGTTTTGTACGTGCAGACGGATAATGGATTGGAATTTTTTTTACATCCCATGAAGAGCTTCTTGTTACAACAAGGAATTGTCCATCAACATACTTGCATTGACACACCACAACAAAAAGGCAGTGGTTGAACACAAACACAAACATTTGCTTGAGATAGCTCGAGCACTTCGCTTCTAGGCAGGCCTTCCTCTTTCCTTTTAGGGAGAGTGTGTGACTAGAGTGGCATATTTGATCAATTATCTTCCAACTCAAATACTCGGTAGCAAGACACCTTTCAAATTATTGTTTAATCGACCTTTGACATACGATCATATTCGCATATTCGGTTGCTTGCTCTATGCCAAAAATCACAGTTGTACTCGTGACAAGTTTGCTACTCATGCAACCAAATGAGTGTTTGTCGAATATCCATTTGGACAAAAGGCTTACAAAATCTTTGATCTAGATTGCCAGAAAATTTTCACCTCACGCGATATTGTCTTCAATGAAAATCATTTCCCATTCATGCTGAATGAATCAACTCCTTTCACCAATTCAGGACCAGTTATACCATTGCCCACTTCTAACAACATTGATTGCCTTCCACATGATGAGCAAACAGTTCAACCTAACCGGACTTAGCCTAACTCAGTCCAGGCCAATCAGGTCTGTCCTAACAATGGATTAGCTAACATAACTCACCCTCATCGACAATGAAAAACTTCGGCGTACTTAAGGGATTATGATTGTCAATTCTTTTGGTACTCAAATAGCTTCCTTCATCATGTGTACACCCTAATTGAGCCACACACATATAATCATGCAATTCTTGATCCACGGTGGTGGCAAGCTATGAAAGATGAACTTTCAACATTGAATCAAAATAACACATGGACTCTTGTTGAACTTCAGGCAGGAAAACAAGCCATTAGTGCACGATGGGTGTAGAAAATCAAGTATCAAGCTGATGAAACAATTGAGCATTAGAAGGCAAGACTTATGGATAAGGTGTGTACTCAAGTCAAGGGTCTGGACTTCCTTGACACATACGCACCAGTGGGCAAAATAGTTACAGTCTGGTGCCTTTTGTCAGTTGCTGCCAGTCAGGGATGGACCCTTCACCAACTTAATGTTAATAATGTTTTTTTGAATGGCGATCTGCATGAGGAAGTCTACATGGAAATTCCACCAAGACTTTCTAATCTAGAAGACAATCGAGTGTGTAAACTAAACAAATCCCTTTATGGTCCATGGAAAGCCTCTCAACAATGGTTTGAAAAATTTTCAGACGCCCTCAAGCAATATGTGCTTACTCAGTCGTTAAATGACTACTCGATATTCTTCTCCTCTAATTCAGGTTCATACATTGTCATTCTTGTTTACGTCGATGATATGATCATCACTAGCAGTAATCTTAATCACATTAATGATCTAAAACAATACTTGCACAAGCATTTCCGTCTCAAAGATTTGTGACTACTCACTTATTTCTTAGGGATTGAGGTTCAATGCTCTTCATCTGGAATTTTTTTTACATCAACGAAAGTATCTACTTGGCATACTACATGAAATCGACATGGCTAGTTGTCGCCCAACATTATTTCCAATGGAACAACAACTACGGTTTGACAAGCAGAGTTCCTTACTTCTGGACCCCAGTCATTTTCACCGTCTCTTTGGCTGATTAGTGTATTTAACCTAACACGACCAAAACTCTGTTACTCTGTTCGTGCCCTCGTTCAACATATGCAACACCCAATTGAAGCTCACATGATTGCATCCTTAGATATCTCTCTGCCTCTCCAAACAAAGGCCTTTCCTTACCTTCATCAAATGATTTTATTGTTCAAGCCTAATGTGATGCTAACTGGGGCAGTTGTCCAATCTCCCAACGATCCACAACAGAGTATGTAATCTTTGTTGGTAATTCACCTGTATCTTGGAAGACAAAGAAATAGAACACTATAGCCCGCTCATCAGCTGAGGCGAAATATCATGCAATGGTTTTCACCACTGTAGAGTTGCTATGGCTTAAACGCCTCCTTGGTGATCTCAACATTTCTGTCACTCAACCATTATTGCTTCATTGTGATAGTCAAGCGGCTCTTCACGTAGTAGCAAATCCAGTTTTTTACGAACGAACGAAGCATATAGCAATTGATTGTCACTTCATGCGTGAACATTTTCAAACCAAGACAATCAAAACCTCTCACCTTTCAACAGAGGAGCAACTAGTTGACTTGTTTACCAAAGTCTTAGGAGCTGATAGATTTCATTATGTACTCGGCAAGTAAGGCATTCGTTCCCTTCATGCCCAACTTGATGGAGGGGGTGACGGAACAAGATTCTGTTAAAGAAAATTCAAACATTCCAGAAAGCTAGGTTGGCAACCCAAAGACATTCACCACGTAATCTTTTCTAAGACCTCATCGCAACTATATTGACCTCATCGCAAATGTTGACCTCATCACATATATTGACCTCATCCAATATGTATTTATATATATTGTCATTCGACGAGTTGGAGGACAGATTTTTCTTCCACAAGTTTTGTTTCTTCTGTGCAAACTGTGCTATGTTTTTGTGAGTTTTGTACCATTTTACAACAATGGAGGGTAGGGCCATGTCATCAACATTGGTAGCAAAATTTGAAGCCAAGTTCAAAGGGGATAGGACCAAGACTGTGTGAGTAAGTGGAAATAAAGGAAGAAGGGTGAGATGCAAAGAACAAACACTGTGTAACAGAGTTGATGATGTTGGGACGAATGGATGCTTTTCTTTCGTCATGGGAAAATGGAAGGTTTAGGGTTAGGAATTAGAGAATCTCAGTAGGAGGATGGGAATCTTTGCAATGCCCTCTGGAATCATAGTTGCTGCTTCACCAATAGAACCTACAAGATTCGGTGATGGTTTTGGAATCAACACCCATTCGACAACAAGGGTCTTCGCTATCATTAATTGATTAGACACAAATGATCATAACGACATGATTTACATGATTGCCCTGCGACCAACCTGTTAGCATTTTAGCGAAGTAAAAGCATGTATGCAATGACCCACATTGGGATTAAATCCAGCTAGGCCAAGCTACGTACCTTCTTCTTCTTCTTCTTCTTCGCAAAACCAAGCTACGTACCGAGTTTCTATATATATATATATATATATATATATAATAATGCATTAAAGCCCAAACATATATCTTAAGTAATACACACATAAGTAATAAGACATATAAAGACAATACAAAGTGTTTGATCTTTTAACCAAATGAAATCTCTGTATCGCAAACACTTCAAGTACATAGAAACAGATCTTCAAGATTTTATTGTTTGTCAAGCCCCATTTTCCATTAATTGTATACATTTTGAAAGAGATAGTCCACCCTAAACCCAATTCCATTCATCAATAACATAGTTTCCTTTGTTTCTTTCTTCCTTCTTCTCTCTTCTTTTGGCAATTTGAACCATTTTCTTACCGTTAAAACCATTGCTATTCCCGTTGCGAGGGGCTCCTCCAAAACCCAGTGCTATAGAACCTCTTCCACATCTCTTTCTCCAGCTCAAGAACCTCCTTTTCCGAATCATCCGACTTGTTGTCTACCATGGGCAGCCACTCATCCATGGACATTGGGCATATCTGTAAGTGATCGGTCTCGTCATAACCACAAGTGCAACCCCGTTGCTGTGGCAATAGTCCCACATTCTTCAACATCCGTAGTTTTCTCTTCCTCAATGCTTTCCGGCATAGCCCTGCCGGTAACTTGTACACTGTAAGTACCAGTAGGTTCATCAGCCCACACGGGCAACAACAACATACCGCTACGCACTCTGCCGTCGTCTCACCGGCCAACTCTGCTATACGTGATCGTGATGGGCTTCGCCAATGGGACTGCCTCTCTAGGAACGGTCGGCGACGATTCAAATTCAATGAAGGGTGACGTGTTAGGACGGCTTTCCGATTCATGGTTTTTGCTATAGAGAGTGCAGCACTGTTGGTTGGATGAGCTTCAAACTAATTCAGTGGATGAATTAGATGTGAAATCATCTATTTGTATTGGAAAATTTGGAATCCACCACGAGAAAAACAAAAAGTAGAAAAACTATAGTATTTCCTGTAATGAAATCTACGTCTAATAACAGTTTATGTTTCTCCCTTTCTCTATATTTTATCATTCAAAAAAGACAATATATAAATGCTCAAGTGTCTTAAAGAACAATAGTTTTACTTTTTCTAGTATCAAATGAAGTGATCGGAAGGGAAAGCAAGAGATGAATCATTGCCATTGAATCCCTAACTGATCAGAGAAACATGGCGTTAGGAGAAAGGTATGGCCGACAGGCCGAGCGAGGAGCGACCACCATTTCTCTCCTGAAGCGAGGCTCTGATAGCCACGCTACAGCAAAGTCTCTCCAGGTTGATTCACCCTCATATATAACCTTAAACCCAGAACCGTCAAAAACCCAGCACGCATCTTCCGCGACGGGAATATTGATCTACCTGTTACGTGTAAAATAATCCAGCACCTGACAAATTCAGCATCACCAACTTTGACGGGTCCGTACATCCTGTTTCAGTCTTAAAAGACTCTATAATGCATGCCTACATAACCGTCTCAATAACTAACTCTATAACTAACCCACAAACACGGCTTAATAATATGATCAACGAATGAACTAAAATAATTCACATTCGGTCAACATGCTCTCATCTACTACCAGATCTAGGTGATGGTGTAGATCTCCAGCGATGGTGTAGATCTCGTTACAGACTGGTGATGGTGTACATCTTGTTGCAGACTGGTGGTGGTGCAGATCTCCGACGATGGTGTAGATCTCGTTGACGCCACATCAGCAGCCACGTAATGGCCATGTCATGTAGCCATTGGTAGCAATGGATGCAAAAACGGGAAAACGTTCAACTTGACGCTTTCTCAGATCACGCATTCTCGAGTTACGAGGCGTGGTCGTTTTCTTTGTTGGTTTCTACTATCTTTCATTAACAAACTTTTTCTTTTGTTTTTCTAAAATTTTCTTGTGGATTTGTCAACTTTTCTAATTACTGAATCTGTTTTTTTATTTAATTCAACTTCATAAGGTTTTGCTAATTTTTTCTTTCTTGGGCTTAAGTCGTTGAAGAATGAAGATATGAGGTTTTGAAATTTGAAGGAATTTTTGACGTCAATAGTTTATTCAATTAAGTCTTCCCCTAGGCCCTAGCTAAAAGTTGCTCTGCTCCTTGTGGTTTATGCAGTGTGAGCCAAAAATATAGCACCCTTCACCACGTAACCACGTTGATATCCTTCCAATTCAATCAAGTCTCTGAGGAGCTTTATTAGACTGCGGGATTTGATGTAAAAGAAAAACAGAGCCCAAAAAAATACGAAAAGAAAAAGAAAGACAAAAAAGAAATTTATCATTTTAAAACAAATGGTAGAAACCACCATCATCTTTGGATATTCTCTTCTCAGCAATCTGTGAATAGTTCGTTGTTTAAACTTTTAAAGAGGGCATAGAAGGGCAGGCCCAATAGTGGCAGTGGCTTCATTCTTTAAAATTATAAATGAAGGCTTGCAAGGTTGGTGTCTGAAAGCATGGTTTTTGAACCGCTCTTGACCCATATGGTTGGACTGTTTGGCCCGGGAACATTCAAGTAACCGGTTTTATTTTACCCCAAACCCAGTCCATGGTCAAAAACCGTCGAATCGATCAATTACCCATTGATCCGGGTAGTCAAACTGTTGACCCATTTGACCCATTCAATTGTTTTTAGCCATTTTTTATTTTAATTATTATTTTTTTTTTATTTTTTAGGTTTTTTTGTCATAATGGGCCACCTGTTTGAGCCAGACAGTTCAACCGTCAACCAGGAAACCAGTGTTCAAAACAGTTCCAGTTCTGGGCTGTTTTTAAAACCCAAGGTATGTTTAAGTCAATTTTAGAAAAGTCATGGTATGTTTTAAGTATTTTACCCAAAAGATGTGGCAGTTGGAGTGAAATGGTGGAACAATTATTCTGGGCATTTATGGATAGGGCATTTATTTGCACTTTTTCACTTTAAACATTTATTTATATTTTTTTACTTTAAATGTTTCCACGTTTTTTACTCTCCACCTCAAATTAATACCCATTAAAGTGTGTCACATCAGTATTTGGTTTCAAGAAACGCTGGGGCATTGGGGGAAGGAAGAATTTGACGTTTTTCCAAATGCCCCATGCATAAAAAATAAAACATTCAGGTTCCTACCATTTATTTGATAAATGATGAAACCAAACAATTGTTTCACTTTGCTTTATTTACAATAAATGCCAATGCCTATGTAGTATTGATGTGGTGACGTTTTTTCAATAAACACCAACGGAACCAAACATCTCCAAGATTGAGTTGCATCAAGCCATGGACAATGCAAGTGTTGTTTGTTTCTTTGTATGTGTTTGATTCCATTTACATTTATTTAGTAAACACTATCACATAGGCACCCCATCAGCAAAAGCCTCATTATACACATCCGTACATATTGATTTCTGTGCGCCTCTCCCGTTTCAAGAAGCTCCATTTTGAAGTTTCCCCAACGAGTAAGCATTTATTGGCACCTTTGCTGATGTAGTGCCTAATGACGCCTATGTATCATAAACACCCTCCATTAATTGCTTTCCTCAGTTTTGCAACCACACAAGTACAAAACATTTACTCAATAAACATAAACGGAATCAAACACATACTTTAAATGATTTATTTTTTAATATTACTTTTATTTAAGATTTTTTTATAAAAAAAGTTAGAATGCAATAAAAGTACTTTTTAGGAGGTCACTCATCCTAACACTACTTTCAGCCAAAACACATTAACTCGAAATCTGCTGCATTAATGTTGGTATGATTACATCCTATTTTTATTCAAGATTATTATTGCATTGAATTATTACAAACATGCATAATACGGCCAACATGGGCTTACATTTCATTTTTTTGTTATCAATCTGGGGCCCATTTGGTCAATTTTTTCTTTGTTGGTATGGGCCTTATATGTCTACTACATATCGGTCATTATGAATTGGACAAGGAGTTTAGAATTTGATTAGTAAATGTTGTAGGCCCAACTGTAAACCTCGTGAAGGAATTAAAAAATTACTATATAATTAGATGGTTATTACAAAATTATTTGAATTATTGCAAAACATTGGATACACTATTAGGGGCACATATTTTAAATATAAAATCAATTTAGAGCCCAAACTGTCAATTTTACAATTATGATATAAACCCTACTCATGATTACCACAAAAAGCCATTGAATTCCCCATGTGTGACATGTTGCTAAGCAGTTAATTAGAACTAGCAAAACTAAGGATATTTTGAAAGCAAAACTAAGGATATTTTCATCTATTTTTCCTCTAACCAAACAACAGAAAATGAATTTTCCCTACCTTTACCATGGGATAACTAAATAGTGGGACATTGAAGCCTATTCTGTTTCTCTTCCTTTCTTTTCCCTTTTTCTTTTCTGTCTCTTTTTCTTTTAAACCAAACACAGCATTATAGACTGTAAGATCTATGACAACCACCCAGTGAATCTATCTAAAATTCGCCAATTAAACAACGATTCAAGGGTGCATCCAGCAGCATTATCCATTTTCATATTATTGCTGGTTTCAGAAAACATGCCAACAGGTTTTGAAGAACACTAGTGGAAACATTAGGATGAAGATTCTAACTCAAATGAGCATATAGATGTTCTACAAGCTTCACTGTGAAAAGATGCAAAAATAAGTCAATGATTACTCTGCGGAAAAGAGGTTTCCATCTTCTTCCTCTCCTTTTAAGATGCTGTTTTGAGCAGTTTGGTCTGAAATGTTTGAAGAGTTCTGTGAAGCATCATCCAAATATGAAAAGTCTTGAACAACTCTAATTTCCATTATTTGTTGAGCCATGGATCCTGTGGTCTGTGAGAAATCTTTCTGGTCAAAATATTTTGCCATGGTGACCAATCTTCTCCATAAGGATTTTCCTGAACCTATATCTGTCAAAATATTTCTATGTTTGTAAATGAAAGAAATTAAGAATATAAGGAGTGAGAAAGCCGAAGCAACTCCTGTGATGAGGAAGAGGCCCCAAAAGCTACTGAGGCTAAGGCTGTTTGAAGAGACTGTTGAACCTTGGTCTTCACAACTGGATTGATTCCCAAGCCATTTCTGTTCAATCATATTCATTTTGTCCCCTTCTGTTATATTTAAGATTGCTCTGGACACGTAGGAGACTAAAGGGGAGCCCATTGGAAAAGCCTGGGAGATGAGGACAAGGTATTAAGATAAGAAACAAACACCTTTTTGTGTGTTTTTTGAGAGAGAGAGAGAGAGAGAGAGAGAGAGAGACTCACAAAGCCAAACCCATCAGTCTTGTAAGTGGGTCCAACAATGGTGTACTTTGAACAATGCTTTGCAAGGAAGAGCTTGATGTAAGGGATTTCATCCACAATTGCAGCAACACCACCATTTTGGCTTCCTTTAGACAAGGCCTCATCATATTCACTTGAGGTATAGGGCCTAAGCTTGGACTCATCCAAGTTCATCCTCTTTAAGAGCCCTAATATAAAGGAATTTTTCTGGTACCCCACATAATATCCGTTCTTAATCAACTCCTTTACATCAGTAACTGTTGGCTGCAACTGCTGCACCGTTAGCATAGATGTTAAACTTGCAGTGTAACTTTGTGCCAGAACGAATACCACAAACATCCATATGATCAACATGAACCTTGAAAAATTGTTTATCACTTTCTGCCCTGCAACCATCAAAACATACCAATCTTAGTTCCTTTGTTTAATACTGTTAGAGACGATGATAAAAGAATTATCTAGGTACTTTAAGTTTCTTTTCTAGAAAACTTTTCCTGCTTCATCCACATGGAATGATGATGTGGCCAAACCAATATAGATCAGAAGAAGGAAGCTCTTTATTGTCCATTTCTTCACTAACCCACTTCTTGTCAGCTCTTGAATTCACCCTGTATTGCAATTTTTGCAAGTGGTGCTAACCATTAAATATTGAATTTTTTACCTTAAAATATTTAATAGAAACTAGAGAATTTTATTTCATGTGGAAGGGTGTCAGGCTTAAACTTATCTCTTGAACAATCGGTAGAAAGAAAATATGAAATTAACAGCTGCTTGATTAAACTCTTTACAAGAAAGATTGTTGGTGCCTATTGCCTAGAGTCCTTTTCCATACAATTCATCAAGTAAACTGATCCCCCTGTATTTTTTATATGAATAAAATAACAGGAAGAACCTTGATATGGATCAGGCTGTGCTAGGATAGATGCATGCTTTGAAGTCCAGGCTTGTCCAGGCTTGTCCTGGTAATACTAGACTGGTAACCTGATCCCACACCTAAGCTGGAGCAGAGTGTTGGATAGTCAAGAAACAACCTGTCTAAAAAGTGAGTATAGCGGAAATGCATATGCTGAAATGGATGGGTGGGAAAACCACAAAGGGTAGGGCTAGAAATGAAGTCATTAAAAGTAACCCAAAAGTAGCTCTAAAAGTAGGTAAGGCTTAAATGAGTTCTGTAGAAAAGGCACCCATCCAGTCAACCAAAGAATCTAACATGACAAAACTTGGCTCCACATGTTCCCCTCCCTACTTGCTAGTCATAGGGAAATGGTACCATATGCGAATTTCTTAAAACTTTTGTGAGCCTCCATAATTTTAGATTGTTGAATAACTTAGTTTAATTTTAAGTTTATTGCCGCAAGGGCACATTTGTAATTTCTCTTTTCTTTTATCTCTGTATGGTCGCCCTAGTATAAATACTAAATAGACTGGTGCCGCCAGTTGACTTTTGCTCTTTCAAATTGTTTTTCTCTTTTCTCTCTTCTCTCTTCTCCTTTTTCTCTTCTCACTATTCTGGAATCGCACTACCTCTGCACCAAGAAAACATGGTACCAGAGCGGCAGATCCAATCTTTCCTTTTTTTTGTCTATTGGTGATCAAACCAAAGAAAAAAGATCTTTGGTGGACGTGTGGGGGAGCTCACTGCAAAACTGTTCTTTTCTCTTGATCGTGAGCCCAGAAATCATCAAGGGGGAGGGAAACTGAATGCTGTGAGTTGGTTTTTCTTCTTTCTTCCTCAATTTTGTCGATCGAACTGATCCTTTTTTGTACCCAGATGAGTGGGTTATGTGGGTCTAATGACCTGTGGCTGGTGTGAGAGTGTCTTCTCTCAATGTATGTGGATCGAGTGATCCTCCTTGTGCCCTGAAAGGTGTTTTTCCTTCAGGTCTGCAGATCTGTAACTGCTGTGACAACAGTTTGTTTCCTTCTTCTGTTCATATTGAACCTAAGTTGCTGTGTTAAAGTTGATGATTTATTGCTAGAGGGAATGGTCAGACCTGCTTTCTTTGATATGCTTTACACATCTGAACTGGTTCAGTAGGGCCGAAATCTGAGAACAGTAATAGTGTGTACAGTTTTTATTTCTTTGCGTGAGAACAAGTTTCTTGTGTCCAGAATTGTGGCTGAACTAAGACTTCAATCTGTTTGACTGTACTATGAGTCTGAACTGAAATGAAAACTTGTTCTCTATCTGGATTGTGACTGAACCGATTTCAGATTCTATGTTTTCTGAAGATTCTGGTATGTTTGCTGTAACCTCTAGTCAAAGTGGGATGAGTGGAGGTTTTGACATAGTTTCCCCATGGTTGTGATCCCCTTTGATGGCCTCAATTACCTAGAATGGTCAAGGGGAATCAAGCTCTACATAACTGCAAGGGGAAAGGTAGGGTATATCAATGGTAGAATCAAAGAACCGCAGTCTAGTGGTGTGAAAAATTATAGGTGGGACCAGGAAAACAGCATGGTGATGTATGGCTATTATTGTCTATGCTGCCACAAGTGAGAAAGACCTTCATGTGGGCAGAAACAGCTCATGAGATATGGGAGTAGGCAAAGTCTACATATTCAGAATAACGGCATTATGCTAAAATATATCAGTTGCAGGCTGCCTCCTCAACTTGTAAACAGAGGGAGAGGAGTCTCTCTGCCTACTATTCAGACCTGACTTCTATTTGGAAGGAACTAGATCACTATTAGAATATAGACTAGAAATGTGTTGCAGATGCCAAAGCATACAAGTCTCTGGTTTCCCAGCAACGAGTGTTTGCCTTCTCTTAGGGATGAATTCCATGTATGAATCTATCAGGGTTCAGATAGTGGGGGGTAAAGATCTCCCATCAGTACAAGTATATGCTCTAGTACAGTCAGAAGAGAGTAGACAGAATGTGATGAATAATCTTGAGGGAGACCATGTTGCTTTAGTAGCTAAAGGGAGTGTTTCTACAGGTGGTGGAAATTCCTTCAAGAGTGACTTCCAAAAGAAAGTTAATGACAAAGATAAACTATGGTGTACACACTGTTAGAAGTCTAGACATACTTGGGAGACATGTTGGGAGCTTCATGGGAAGCCCAAGTGGGCTCAGGAAATGAGTAAAAAGCCGGATCAAAATAAGAAGCCAGGACAACAAGGTCAGAGGAAGTTTAATGCAACAAATTTAGCCTCTCAAGAGCCTCAATTATCTACCACTACTATGAGTCCTTCTATGACTGATTCGAGGGAAGATATCATTAATTCTTTCTGTGACCATTTGGAGTTGTATGGGAGGGCAATCTGTCAGATGGATTCTGCTTCTCCACCCTCGACTTCCTTAGCATCTACATCAGGTAACGGTAATTCTGCCACAACTTTCCATGTGTCCTCTCATCCCTCAGACTCTCCTTGGATAATAGATTTTAGAGCCTTGAACCATATGACGGGTAAGTCCAATTATTTTCTATCTTATCATCTATTATCTGGTTGGGATAAGGTGAGACTTGCAAATGGTTCTTTCTCCACCATAGTTGGTCAAGGAACCATCTCCCTTCCTCTTGGACTCACCCTCTCTGATGTTCTACATGTTTCTAAACTGCCCATAAATTTGTTCTCTGCTAGTAGTATAACAAATTCGTTAAACTGCTCAGTAACTATTTTTCCTTCCTCTTGTATGATATAGGATTTGGCCTCGGGGAAGACGATTGGTAGAGGTCGTATGGTAGATGGTCTTTACATGCTGAAGAATAAAGCTAGTCTTGTGGCTATTGAGTGTAAGAGTCTGTCTAATAAGAGTCAAGTCCATTTATGGCACAGTCATTTGGGTCATTTGTCTTTTGAGTCATTGAAAGTTTTGTTACTAGCAATGTCAGTGTCGGATTTCACATGTCAAACTTGTCAGTTGAGCAAACATTGTGGAAATCATTTTACTTCAAGAAATAATAAATCTGACTTTCCTTTCCATATTGTTTATTCTGATGTCTGGGGCCCTATTACTTTAACATCCGAGTCTAGCTATAAGTATTTCATTACACTTATTGATGACTATTCCCGATATACATGGGTGTACCCTATGCGTTCCGAAGACGAAGTACCAAAAATCATTAAAGATTCCCAACACTTGATATTCATTCATTTTCAAACGGAAATCCAAATTTTCCAATCAGACAATGCCAAAGAATATTTTCATAGCGGTCTCACGGAGTTTTTTGCTTCGTACGGATCCAAACACCACAGCTCTTGCAAGAGAACCCCCCAGCAAAATGGTATTGCTGAAAGAAAGAACCATCATCTCCTTGAAATTGCTCGTGGGCTACTTATACACATGAATGTTCCTAAACGTTTTTGGTTGGATGTTGTGTTGTGTCCCTATCTCATCAACTGTATGCCATCTCGCTTGTTAGGGTACAAGGCCCCCCATCAACTTCTTTTTCCCAAGACTACCCTCTTCTCTATTCCTATCCGTGTGTTTGGTTGTCATTGTTTCGTCCAGGACCTTTCTCCTACTTGTGGAAACTTGATCCTCACGGAGTTATCCTTCTTCCCAAAAAGGCTATCAATGCTTTGACCCTGTTTCCAAGAAGTACTATGTCTCAATAGATGTGTCTTTCTTTGAAAGTGATCATTTTTTCCCGGTTTCTCCTTAAGGGGAGAGTACGATGGAGGAGAAACCAGTTCAGGTTCTACCCCCCTCTATTCCGTGTTTTTCATTGTTGCAAGAGCCAACTAAATTCAAGAGTTGTGGAGCAACTTGAAATTGTACCGCCAACATCATCAGATTCATTGGGGATAGATCATACCCAACCAGATACTACCATTCCTATTGATGTCCCTGATCCTCTTGCCATAGATACTTCATCTGTTGTTGAACTAGACATCCCCATTGAAAAAAGGAAGTTAGGTCTTGTACCACCAAGTATCCTATTACCCGTTTTGTTTCCCATGAGAACATCTCACCCTCTTTTCGTGCTTCCATTTCTTCCATTGACAGTGTCCCTATCCCTAAAAATGTGGCAGAAGCTCTCTTAGTACCTGATGCCCTACATAAAAATGGTACATGAGAATTAGTGGATCTTCCTGAGGGTAAGGAACTGGTAGGGTGCAAGTGGGAATTCATAGTGAAACACAAGGCTAATGGCACGATAGAAAGGTACAAGGCTAGGTTGGTGAAAAAAGGGATTACCCAGCTATATGGTGTAGATTACGCAGAAACTTTTGCCCCAGTAGCTAAGATGAATTCCATTAGAGTCATTTTCTCCCTTGCGGCAAATCTTGATTGGGATCTTCATCAGCTAGACATTAAAAACACCTTCCTGAATGGAGACCTTGAGGAAGAGGTGTACATGGTACAATCCCCTGGCCTTAGTGCCCTATGCAAAGAGAAAAAAGTGTGCAGGCTAAAGAAGTCTTTGTATGGTCTAAAACAATCACCGAGAGCCTGGTTCAGCAAGTTTCATCTGGTTATATAGCAGATTGGTTACAAACAATGTTAGACTGACCATACTCTATTTGTGAAAAGAGGGGAAGGAAAGATTGCAGCCTTGATAGTGTATGTTGATGACATAGTGATCACAGGTGACTAGAAGGTTGAAATTCAAAGGCTAAAGGCTTTCTTAGCTACTCAATTTGAGGTGAAGGATCTAGGTCCCCTTCGGTATTTCCTTGGAATTGAAGTGGCCCACTCATAAAAGGGGATCTTCATTTCTCAAAGGAAATACGTCCTAGATCTGTTACAGGATTCAAAAAATCTAAGGATTATGCTAACTAACTCTCCCATTGACCCAAATCACAGATTGAGTGACTGTTGTGGTGAAGTTGTCAAAAATGTAAAACAATTCTAGAGAGTTGTGGGAAGGCTCCTATATCTGTCCATGACCAGACCAGACGTTGCTTATGCAGTAGGTGTTCTTAGTCAGTTCATGCATGCTCCTAAGACCACACACTTAGAGGTAGCAGAAAGAATACTCAAGTATCTAAATGCTCCTAAGACCACACACTTAGAGGTAGTAGAAAGAATACTTAGGTATTCTGGTTTATTATTCCAAAAGAATGATCACTTGAAGATTGAAGTATATACAGATGCTGATTGGACTGGATCAGTTGATGACAGAAAGTCTACTAGTGGGTATTGTTCCTTTGTGGGAGGAAATCTAGTCACATGGAGAAGCAAGAAACAAAATGTGGTGGCTAGGTCTAGTGCTGAAGTTGAGTATAGAGCAATGTCCCATGGGGTGGCTGAAGGTATGTGGATAAAGAATTTGTTGAAAGAACTAGGTTTTCCTGTTGATGGCCTTATATCCTTGTATTGTGATAACAAGACTGCCATCAGTATTGCAGCCAACCCAGTTCTTCATGATAGAACTAAACATAGAGAGGTTGACAAACACTTCATTAGGGAGAAAATTGTTAATGGGGAAGTGTGCACCTCATATGTGAGTTCCAAAGAGCAACTGGAAGATATATTTACAAAAGTCTTACATCACTCGTGGCACGATGATTTATGTGACAAGTTGGGTATTATTGACATCTATGTCCCAACTTCAGGGGGAGTGTTGAATAACTTAGTTTAATTTTAAGTTTAGCGCCACAAGGGCACATTTGTAATTTCTCTTTTCTTTTATCTTTGTATGGTCGCCCTAGTATAAATACTAAATAGACTAGCGCCGCCAGTTGACTTTTTTTCTCTCAAATCCTTTTTCTCTTTTCTCTCTTCTCTCTTCTCCTTCTTCTCCTCTCACTATTCTGGAATTGCACTACCTCTGCACCAAGAAAACATAGATCATATTTTTTCAGCATATTAGACCCAACCTTATCTTCAGATTTTATAGTTATATGCATCTTTAATGGGAAAGTTTTAATACATGGTTGCATATACAATAGATGTGGTTAAGGAAAAGAAATAACATGTGACAATTTTGTACGTGTGTGTATATGAGTAGTCATTTTTGTTTTTCTTTTTTGCAAGCATATGAGTATTTATTTCTCTGTACAATATGCATGTATTTTGATTGGGGAGGGGGGGCAGAGAGAGAGAGAGAGAGAGAGCTTACCATGAGCAAAAACAAGTGTCGAGAAGGAGAACCAAAATATCATTCCAAGTTGCTGTCCAGGTGATCCCCTGAACTCTGTGTTTATTCGATGTTCAAGAACCCAAACCACAATGCCAGTAAAGATGAAGGCTAGACAAATCGTCAGCCACAGATCCCAAGTCAAAGGCTTGAAAAATATCCAAGCATTCTTCCTATGATCATCTTTGATTGGCATCACCATAGCTACTCCTGATTCAGTGTAAGGCAATGTAAAATCCACATACAATGATCGATTTGCTATGATTGTTACATCTCCCACCACAGCATCAAATTCCTGTTCATTCCAAACTCACAAAAATAGCACATAAGAAACAAATGTACCAAGGGATAAACATTCCTGGGTCTCAGCATGGTTGCAAGTATTGGCTCAAATAACATGAAATTTTTAAAACTAACCTGCAGATAGATTTGATAGAGAAGTTCATCGTAACTCCCTGCACTTCTTCCATTACTCGTCATGAATGGAACAAAAACATAAGGGACTGCAAATGGTAATGCCTCCATAACAGCATTGAACACATCTATGGAAAACCCCGAGACAGTTGTCTTATTGGTACAAGGGTCAAAGTCTACTTTAACAAATTCAGTAAAACCTCTTGTCACCGGAATTCCAACCCTCAATTTATTCCCATTTGTTGGAATCACCCAACCCTTTGGAATTGTTGTGGAGTCACCTGGCCAAATTATTGTCCGCAAAGCATCCATGGAATTTAAGCACATTCTTTTACTAGTTCCATTTAGTTCACGGGAAATTCCATTAGCTGGAGTCCAAAATCCAATCATTCTCTCTCCTTTACATACCACATTAAATATTTCAAAGACTGAAGCTTGTAGTTGTCCATTCACTAGATTGAATTCACCACTCAAGCCTCTAAATCCAGTATCCTGAATCATTTTGAGAAGTTTTGGGCCCATTAAAGTTACACCAAAATTTGCAAATTCAGTAAGGTTTTCATGATGCTTGAAGGACCTTGGATGCATAGGCCCCACTCTCTCTATTGCCATAGCTAGTGCCTGAACTGTATCATAGGCCCACATCCCAAAAAGGCTTAACTCTGTTATTTGATTACTTGGGTTCTCTATATTGAATTTACTTTTCCATCTAAACTTGAAATCTTCTAGCTCTTTTGACATTGATACATAAGGTCTTACACCCAATACACCTTCCATTGAATCAATGGCTACTGAATTCATTGGATCCAATAAGCTGGATAATCCATCTGTGACAATCCATGCATATCCTTCACTCATCATTCCTATTTTTTTTGCCCAGGTAAACAAGAGGGATCCTAAAGAAGCTCTCATATGCACTACAAATACCATAGTTGGCATGTTCATTAATTTATTGAGCTCCATGAGAATTTGGCTTCCGTTGCCGGATGAAGAAATGGCACTCCTATAAGAAATTCGGGTATCAATCTCGTGGAAGGCATCAACAAAATAAGGGATGATCCCATTCCCATAATCAGTATCTTCATAAATGAGGACCACTGCCTTCCATCCACAGCGTTGGATGATAGCTGATATGGCTTTAACCTGGACAGAGTCATCTTGGGATGTACGTAAAAAATAAGAAGTTTTATCTGGAGAGAGAGAAGGGCTTGTTGCAGAGAAAGAAATAATGGGCAATTGAAATCTCTGACTGAAGTATGCCACAAACTTTGCTTGAGATGATGTTTGAGGTCCAATAATAGCTTGCACTTTTACATCTTTCATCAAGTCCAGGACTGCATTTCATAAAACAAGGAAGAAAATATATAGGATATCAAGAATGGGAACTATAGTCCTGGATTGAATAAAAATGTATGAAATCATTTTATATATTCTGATTGAACTCACAAAAAGAGGCACAATTACAAGAACTAATTCATCTTACATGTTTCAATGCTAGCAATAATCTCAGCCAGATTGAGAATAGGGCATGGTTGACATATACAGACTGGCCACCAGGTATTCTTTCCTTTTCATTCTCTTTTGGAATGCATAAATGTTTAATGAGAAAGGTAAAACATCCAGACATCTACATGTGCGGCATCCTAGGTGACATTTGAAAAAAGCAGCACCTGCTGTCTCCCATGTTGCTCATGTGGCAAATTGAAGTCAAAAGGCCCATGAATGTGCCAAAAGGGAAGCCCTTTTAATTGTGCAGTTTGCAAGAAAGAAATGGGGGAAGAACTTTCTTATTGTAAAAAAAATGAGGAACTTAACCTCATTGATGAGGATATTAAGGGAAGATTCCAATATAAAAGCAAGGTATTGCATTGAAGTTGAAAATATAAATCTTTATCTCTTTTCAGACAAAACATAGGATATAGGAAATTTCCTGACTAGATCTGAAAAGCTGAATAAGATATAACTACATATGATGCCACAGAGAGGCTAGATAAAGATCCTATCCTAAGGGAAATTTCAATCCAATATATAGAATAAGCGTTCATCCAAGGAGGGATTCTCCCCAATACAACTCTGCACTTCCCACCCTTTAGCTCCATCAGATAAGGAGTTGGCCTTTCTCCAAATCAACCTGAACAGGATGTTTATATATATTAGAATCCATGCTCTATCCTTTTCACACAAAATATTCAAATCACCATTGACTGTCACTACCATCTATAAGCCAGCTGATAACCACTTGAGCATATCCCTAGTGCTGAACTCCTGGAACTAGGGATGGAAATGGACTGGATCCAATTTGGATAGGATTATATCTGTATCCTATCTGATAAGAATCTGAGATACCCAAATTCGATTTAGTATCCGATAGATATGTAAAAAATACATTCATTTTACATATCCGGATATCTTATTAGAATTAGTAAGTTTGTAAAAGAAAATTACATAAGTTTATAAAATTAAATATAAAACAAAAAATATATTTACCTAAATCCCAAATCCCACTTAATTCCATAAATAATAATACCATAAAATTTGGTCAAGCAATATCTGAATTTGATCGGGTTAAAAAATAATCATATCTGGATCAGACCCTAGAAATTTGATCAAGCAAAATCTGAACTTGATCAGGTTAATAAACAGATCATATTATGTAATCCGATTCAATCCAATTATGGCTAAATGGATATATGAATCTGACTTAAACAAATTGGTTTTGAATTTGAATAGGATTAAGTCTGATCCATTTGCAGCTGTACCTATAATTGACGAAAGCAAGAGTCTTTGGAGAAACACTTTTACCTTAGCATGGAATCCTCTTCTTTTCCTCAGCATGGGCCAACCATATAACAGACCTAGGGACAGAATGAACTACCACTGATTTTAAAACTACATAATATAGAAATGCATGCCACAGTCTAAGATAGTCTAATGTTTTTAGTTTCCAACTTCAATATAGTATCATTATATTACATACCCCTACCATTAAGTTCTAGTTTTGTTATTGAACTCTTATGCATAGTAATGGAAAGCTTGTGCATGCAAAAGTAGAATAGTAGATAAATAACAAAGAAAATTATGCCACAGTCTAACTAAGATAGTCCTCTAATGTTTTTAGTTTCCAACTTCAATATGGTATCGTTATATTACACACCCCTACCATTAAGTTCTAGTTCTGTTATTGAACTCTTATGCATAGTAATGGAAAGCTTGCGCATGCAAGTAAATGGAAAAATAAGTAGAATAGTAGATAAATAACAAAGAAAATTATTGAACTTAAAAATCTCGGCTGACATGTATGGCAATATGGTTCAAGTCTGAGATCAGCCACTTGGTGCTACAAATGCAAGGAGTTTGGTCTGCCTGTTGAAAAAGAAGGTATTAAAAGAATGAAACTTTTCTGTGAACTTACAATATGGAGATGGGAATGAAGGTAGTGTTATCCTGCAGCAGTAGGGAAAATGGAATCCATGTTCATATGATGTGAACTTTGTCGAACATGCAGCTACTCCATCCTAAACCCCATTGATCTTTTAACCTGTTCTACCCTTCATCTTTATTTCAGACTGTCTCCACTACCATCACCTTCTTGGTTTCAAAAATCAGTACTCTTTAAATTTACTTTCTTCTTGTCACCATCACTTGACAACCACCCTACTTACTTCCATCGAATAAAAAATTTTCACCTTCACCTCTGTTAGATTTAGCAGATCTCAGATTACAGAAAAGGAAACATCTTCCTAGAGGAGATTACAAAAACTAGCTAATAGCCTTCACTGAAGAGAAATTTTCTAGATGTACTACTGAAAATGGAGTGAAAATGTCATAAAAGGGCAGATCATTTTATGGAACAGTGAAGAAATTCAAGAGGACCTACTTAGCAGTGATTGAGAAAGTTGGGAGGGAAAAGGAAAGTTCCATTTTTATCTCCAAGAATTTAAGAACTGAGAGCAACAATCAGTACCAACAAACCTGAGAGTATTCACAAACCCTTATGCAATTCAAGGTAGTAAATAGCCCCTATCAAGGATCTGAAAAGTAAATGGAATGTCCACCAAATCTAAAATGTGGCTGTTGCTTCGTGGGCATGAACACATCTGGAAAGAAGCTTTAGCCTTTGAAACAGAGGAGAAAGAACATTCACTGAAACAACTTTAGCCGAAATCTTCAAGTGAGCTGTGAACTTGGGCTCAAGGTCAACCTTCTACCTTCTACAACTGAGAAGACTATCAACTTCTCCAAAGGTTTAGAGAAACTGAGTGAATTGCTGAATGGTGCATACCAGTGGAAGGAAGAGAGACCCAAAAGGTGAGAGGGGTTGCCATGAATCTGATGGGACTTCTAAATTCCATCAGTGATATGTTTGTAAAGATAGATTCAACAACGACCACTCTGTCTCTCTGATGATTTAAGAGAGGGGAGAATCATATAAGTAACTAGGGTCCGTTTGGTTTGCAGTCGGAATCGGAATCGGAATGTTCCATTCCCATAATCTGTTTAGTTGAGACAGGAATGAAAATGGAATTAGATTCAGTAGGAAGAGATGGAGGGAGAGAAAATGGCCGTTCCCTCAGATAAAAAATACCATTCCAGCATTCCAGCCTGAATAAAAATGGGATTCCGATTCCACCCAATCAAACAGTTGGAATCGAAATAGTCCATTCCGATTTCGATTCTAAACCTCTATTCACGAGAGACGAACTTTTACCCGATAAGGGTCGATTTTCCGATGCTGGAAAGCCTGGAAACCGAAAACCAGACTGGCTTTCAGGCGAACAGAACAAATCGAGTGAAGGGAGGGGGAAGACGATGCTGAGGTGTCAAACCAGTGGACACCGGTCAGGAGAAATGGTGAACTAGCGCATTTCAATTGGACGCCAATGGTACAAGTATGGTTTTAGGAAGATACAGTCGTTCAAAAACCTCCCTGAAGTTTCATTTTAACAAAAATCTCCCCACCATGTTTTAAAAATCCTGCAGTTACCTCTGTTATCATTGTCTCATTCATTATTAAGAAAAAATTATTATAATTATTATTGTTTTTATAATAGAGACTTTGAAATTATAAAATTGCCCTTACTACTTGTTAAGAAATCTTTCAAACATAATCAAAATGTCAAATTTGCCTTTTTAGACTTCGCTCAAACAAAATGAATTTACAAAATTAAAATACTTTTACTCTTGAATTTGACCTAGGGAATTCTTTTAGGTATTAGCAAAAAGTTAATGTATTAGGCCAACGTACAATGATGGAAGCGAAGCGAGGTAATTATAGATTTTTATATTTTACCCTAAAAATTTATGTTCCATAAAAAATTGTCATATTTTATCTAGTATAAAATATTATATATAATATGCATTATATGTGTCATATAAATAACTACCAGCTACGCTGGGCTCAAACCATGCGTATATAGACCAAAAATTTGTCGGGCCTGCCTATATGCTCAAAGTCTAGAATTTACGGGATCACATTAGTGCCCCATAAGCACCCCACGTGCACATTAGCCACTCTAACAATGATAACCCCTAATGGAAAGGGAAAGTTTGATTTAAGGGTGAGCAAATGGGTAATTTTTATCCAGAACCGAATGGAGCCGACTTCGAGTTGGTCTTGAATTGATTCTACCTGATCTGTTATAGGGTAGGGTTTGGTTTTAAATTCATGGAATCAACCCCACCCAAGTCGGTTATAAGCTCTAGGGGTTTATTCTACCTGAATCGGCCCGATGAACTGGCCTTGGAGCCAAATTTGTCATGATCTCACTTGACCATCAAATTACTTAAGTGATTTGATCATTTGTTTTCATTTTAATATTTGTATGTGTATAATAAATAATGTAGAAGGTAATATTTACAAAATTTAAATCATAATGACAAATTTTCAACCATATATTAATATATTACAATAATCTACATATTAAATTACTCAATTTAATTAATAAAGATAATGTAAGTTTTAAACTATATATTATCATTATTGCAAATCAAGTTTTTGAAGGACATGTTTCATTTTACTTTTCTTGAATGGGAAGAGTAAAGAAAGAACAAGTTCCACGGGTAGATCCTAGAACCAACCCCAGAACCGCCAAGGCCAGAATCGACTTTCACAGGGTAGGTTTCGGTTCCAAAAACTTGAAATTGATCCCTACAGGATAGGTTTTAGGTTTCTGCCATTGAAATGAACCAAACCGACCCATGCTCACCCCTAGTTTGAACATTTAGGTTGTCATTCATTTGAATTCATACCTGATTAAATATATTTGCTTATACATACTTAAAACCAAACTAATTTTATTTTATTAATAATACATAATATTTTGATCATTTTATATTTAATGTATTAATGGTATTTGATATGATATCTAGTTGCAATCCAAATTCCTTTTGGATATGATATAAATCTATTTGTTCAAATTCAATTAAATCTAAGGGAAAATTGCATATTATATTACCTTGTACTTTATGCTTAGCCTCACTTTGGTCTCTAAACTTCTAAAACATACCAACTTAGTACTTATCATTAACCGGCCATTAAGTGGCATGCGAAAAGATGCAAATGCCATTCAGGTATAGTCGAATTTTCTTTATTATCCATCTTATCAAATCTCTTGGAAGGGAAGCGTTAGAACCAACTATGAAATTTTTGGTCCCTTTTAATTTTTCCCTCCAAAATCAAATCCTTTTTAGCTTCTATCCAACCAGTTCATCCCGTTAACTTGTTAATGATCTATTTGGAGAAAAAAAAATGGGTTGGGTTGAACCTAAACAAGCCTTGACCCAATAAATTTTTAAGTCATTAAAAACAAAAGAATTTTGAAATTATGGAAAAATAAATAAAATGCAAAAAAAAAATTACAAGAAATTGTAGCAAAAATTATAGAAAAGTGTGGAAAATGGAAAAAATAATGAAAATTGTAGAAAGAATATAAAAAGTATAGAAAATACAAAGAATGGAAAAAAGGACGGAAATTAAAATAAAATTTAAAACATAGAAAAATCTTAGTGGTGTCACTGATCATGTGCAGAAAAACATGATCAGTAAAGATGTGCAGCCTGAGTCAAAGCAAAGATCATCGTCCGGTGTTGCCATGTCGAGTTCTTCAAATAGAGACAAGATCAATAAGGAGGGCTAGATTTTCTGCTTCTACTGGAAAAGATGTGGTTGACCTATGCTTCTTTGATGTGTTGTGTGATGGTAGCTTCGAAATTATGATAGAGCCGCTTTACTCTATTTGATTGGAAAGAGGTTAACTGAGTGGTGAAGAAAATAGAGAGACAGGGGGGAGGAAAGGGAGGAGAAATGAAAAGAAAAGAAAAGAAAGAGTGAGAAAGAAAGAGTGGTGGTAGTGAAATATTTTCTTTAATTCAAATCAAAGAAATTTTCTATTCTTTTTTAATTTCCAAACGTTAAATTTGATTATTAACAATTTACTATTTCGAGTTAATGGTCATCCGTTGGCATGCAATTCATAACCTAACCCATCCAAACCATTAAAATTTTCTTTACTGAGTTACCCAACCCACTAATGACCCAGATTAAACGGATACAACCCAATCCATCAATTAATGGTTGGGTTGGGTTGATAAATTGTCACCCTTAAATGTGACTTTAGTTATATTATTATATATATCTTATTCAATTATATCGATTTACATCCTTATTAAGGACGGGAACTTGGGTTGGGTTAGTATCAACCCAACATGAAAAGGTTGGTTGGATTGAAAATGTGAAGCCAACTTAATTTTAAGTTTGATATTGATTTGGTTTTAAGGCATCCCTCAATCCAAAGCACACAAAGATAAACTCTCCACATTGTGTGAAAGTGGGTTCTATGTTATGTATCACTTCTGTTATCCACAAGTGGTTCAATGTTATGCACTCACAAGTGCTATCTACAGGGTGCCAACCATCTGGTTGGTAAGACCTCTTGCTGGTCGTAGTGGAGACCTAGGATTGAATTCCGCTTACACCTGGGTTCAAGGGTTGGGGGATGGACTACCCCTATTGTGTAACCTTTCAAAAGATATTAAAAAAAAGAAAAAAGTGGTTCACACATCCCTATTTAAAAAAAAACCATTACCATGTGTTGAGAACATTTCCCCATAAATGACGAGATATTTCAATTGCGTAGTTGTAATGTCTCATGGTAAGTAAGGATGTGGGAATAACTAGTGGGCAGTAGATCCATGCCATTGACTCGTTTTATCATATTAGTAAATATATACGTGCATTTGCATGTGGCAATATCTCTAAAATAAAACTATTTATAATTTATAGTCATTTTTTATAATTCATTTATCCAAAAATTAATTAAGGTATTAAGTGGACAGTTTTTGAACAATTATAATTCATGGTTCCAACACCTTGACAGTTTTTGCAGGATTATAAGTGGGTAATTTCTGAAGTGAGTAGAGGACATATATGTCCTCTTTATACTTGTTGTGTGTTTAGACAAAAGGGTAAAAAACATCTAATGAAAATTTCAGAAAAAAGGAGCATTCACTCTTTTGTAGATAGTATAGATAGAAATAGTTTATCTCCGAAGAAGAATAAAGTCATATTACTAATAAGGAGAAAGAAAAGAAAAAAAAATTTTATTTTTGGGTTTGGTTAGGGTTGAGACTTTGGCCAACCTAAACCTAACATGTCTTCATGTTTGCATGTATATTATGTAAATATTAAATTCTAGAACCTTCAAAAAAAAAATTTCTAGTGCAAGGCCACGTGTATATTTCTATAACTGTCTTAAGCTTGGTGGTTAGATTTAAAGATTACAGTACTTAGATAACTACCTTTTGTAAGCATTGACATTACATAATACTAATAAAATATGTATGCAAACATATAATCATATATTCATGTATATACGTGTTCATATATATGAGCCATCAATTTTAAGTTTGAAGATAAATTTTCTAGTACTGAGATATAATTAGAAATGGTACTCTTGAAGCATTATAACTTTGTCCTTCTTATAATAGTAGAAAATTATGAACTTAAGAAATAAGAATGTTTTGCCAAAATGAAGTGAAGAAACCTAGCCAACTTGAACCCATCCCCATTAAAATGAAAACCAATATCTGGAAAAAAGAAATCTAAATAATCAATAACCTAGTAAAAGGGAGTCCACATATATTGAACTTCTTGATGTATAAAAGCCTTAAGCTTCCATATCATTGTCATCACATGGAAAATCCCATCTTAGTTAATAAAAGATTCCCCTCACATGTAGACCTGTTCATGGGCCGGGCTTGAATTTGGTTTTTGTCAAAAGTTAAATGAGCTCAGTCCAAAGCCTGAACCCAAAACAATGTAAGTCAAGCCCGAAGCCCGGCCTGTGAAAAAGTCTGCTCACATGCAAGAGAAGGTTAAAAGAAATAAACTCTTCATTGAAATAAAACTCCACTCCTCTACGCATTGATCTCTTTTAGCTATTTCTACCTTTCCTTAAATTCGAACCCTTTTTGAACTCCACATTTGTATTCACTTTAAATTTTTATCTACATGCATTTTTCTGGCTTCATGGAACTACATAATCGAGGTAACCCATCCCCCAAATCCATAGCCCCTTCTCGCTGTCCTAGTGAGGGAGATATTTGATCCCAAGTCTACCTACAACGACTGGGGTTGGGGAGACTTGGTGCTATCATATGGTGAAGCAAAAATCCAACAGCTAGCGGGAATCAAGTTTCAAAAGCTTGAGATATAAAATGGCTAGTTGCTGAAATTTTGGCCTAGGAGAAACATACTTTCTCCTTATTTAATTCACAAAAGCGGATAGGACTGAAGACAACGCAATCTTTAATTGCCCTACTAATTTCTCACAACTTTTGCACAGGTTTTCAGCTCCTTTTGGGTGTTCTTAAACCACCAATAATGCAACAAAATAATGTTCTTTGACTGATATCTATAGTGCAAGAAGAAGAAGCACTGAACCCTGGATCAAATCTAAATATTGGATGTCTCTCTGGTTAATTGGTTGGAGAGTCTAGAGTAGTCAAAAGTGTAAGTATGTCCAGATCTGGAAGGCTTCAAGGTTTTGTATCCCTTGAGAGTCCTATTAGAAATGTCCTATTGGTATCCTAATCTAATTAGGAAAGAGGTATCTTCAAGAGAGTTTCTAATTCAGCCAAGATATTGACCAGTCAAACTAGTCAAGTTTCAATCCAATTAGAACACTTCATGATTTAGAGTTGACGAGCCCTAACAACTTTCTAATTAATCAGAGAAAGTGAGAGAAGGAAACTTGCATGGAATGGGACCCACAAGCCATTAGATCAAACCAACAAAAGTCTAATCTCTCTTGGAAGAGGGGTAGGACACACCATGGTCAATTTGTTCTTACACTTGAAAACAAATTGTTCCAAGTGTTTGGGGCCAATCCAATCAGCCCAAAGTGCCTAACATTGATAGCTTAGGACTTTGACCACTTAAAAGCCCAAGCCCATGTTCTCACGGAAATATGCTCATTTGGTTATTGGGTCTTGTTAGTATTCAATTTTTGTTCGATCAGCCACATGAACCCTCAATTTATCCGAATACTCGATCAGACCTTTTTGATCTCCGAAAATACCAAAAAACCCAAAGAACTCAAATTTCATCCCCTAATCCTCAAATTCTACCATTGAAATTACCTAATACCAATCCGACGAACCTAATTAATTCCCATTTATTACATCTTAACTATCAGATCATACACAATCATCTAACTACAAACACCTTAAAGCACTTACCCACGAAATTTCAACTCAAGATTCTTTTGTTTATCTCTTTGTCAATTCTCATTCGCCTAAACATCCATAGTCAAAATCACCTTGATCCTAATACCTCTGAACCAATCAGACAATACAATTGAGCCATAGACACACCAAAACATATACCCATAGAATTTCAGCTCAAAATTCCCCCATTTAGACCATCATGAAACTAAGATTCCAGTTCAAACCTTCTTATTAACTTAAATTTCCATGATTTTGATCCCCTAAATCAATCATACATTACTATTAGATCATAGACATCCTGAAACACCTACTTACAAAATTCTAGCTCAAAATTCCCTAATTTACCCCTCCATTGCATAAGGATTTTCAACATACAATTAGGTATTTTAACACAAAATTCTAATTCAAAACTCCTTGGTTTATCCCTCCATTGCATATGCCAGCCAAGATTGGCCATACAAAAGATATTAACCCACCTAGGAATTTTAACACCAAGCCCATCCCACGATTTGGGGATACACACCTTCTAACTTAAGAGGTGGATGGGTTTCCTATCCTTTGACTTGGTCCAGATGAAAGTCCTTTGGATTTTATCCAAATCGTCGATCACACAATTAGGTATTTTAAATGACCTCATAATAAATTGAGGTAAAGTATGGAGAGATGCATTAACAAGGGACAGCTTGCCCGCCAGGGAGAGGGAGTTCATCTTCCAACCTACCCACTTACTACCCTTCTTTCATGAAGATCCTTAAAATCCTCTTTCTTAACCCTATCCTACAGGATGGTAGTCTCCAAGTATTTGGTTTTTAGAATTTTTTACATGACCCGTTGAAATCTATGAGGAATATGTTTTTTTGAAAAACTCAAAGAGGATTTTGAAAATTTTGGTTTCTGGCCAAAAGCCATAGAAATTTTATATAAACTTTCCTTAATTTTTAAACATGCATCAATAGATGATTTAGCAAATATTAGACAATCATCGACAATCTATAGAATAGGAATTTGCAACCAATTAATTTGTCCCCGATCATAGATTCTCTTTCAAACATCCGAGATAGAGCCATAATAAGGATACGAAAAGAAGTAGATTTTATGCATCCCATTAAGCCATAATTGAGAACTTTTTCTATAAAATTCCATTCAAGTTTATTGTAGGCCTTCTCATATCAACATTAAGCCATAATTCCCTTTTTCCAACTTTTTTTCTCATTATGTGAAAAAAAAATTCATGGTCAATCAAAATGTAACAAAAAATTTGGGGAAATGATATTCTCAAGGAGAGGTTTGATAGGGTTAGCCAGAATTTTGACAATAATTTTATAAATGAAAACGCATAGGCTGATGGGCCTGCAGTCATTAACCATTTCCAGAGACCGATAAAAGTTCTATTCAAAGCTCTATTCATTTTTCTAGATAGTTTAAATGCTTGCTATAGTTTTGCTCTAAAGAAGTGAGCAGAAAGATGATTTCAAACAGAAAGATCACACACTCACTGGGTGATCATCCATAGTACTTATAGCAATTTTGATATGGTTATCATGTATAAGGATAAATACAAGTGGAGATCAGATCGGTTAGGAATTTTGGCATATCTTGATTAGTTGCAGAAGATGAGGCTTATCTGGGTTGGTTGGCGTATGGATGAGATTTATCTTGGATATTTGGTCTGTGGGCCGATGCATGGGCCTGAGGAGTGGGCTCACTATCATCCCCCCTCAAGCTAGACGAGGTTGTGCATACGTGCAGCTTGTGATGAAGATGAAGCAGATGGGTAGCTGGTAGACTTTTGGTGAAGAGATCTGCTAGTTGCCCATGAGATGGCACATGACGGACATCCAAAAGGTTGTGAGCAACCTGTTTTTGAATGAAGTAGTAGTCGACCTCGATGTGTTTCGAGCGAGCATGAAAAATTGGGTTGGAGGTAAGAACAATAGCTGACATGTTGTCACACCAGATGACCAGAGTGGAGAGAATAGGAACATGAAGCTCTTTGAACAGAGAGCACAGCGAGGAGATTTCTACATCAGTGTGAGCAAGGCAACAATATTCGGCTTCTGTGGAGGAACAGGTAACTGTGGGTTGTTTCCTAGCACACCAGGAAATGGGATTGGGCCCAAGAAACACACAAAACCCATTGGTGGACCTGCGATTCAATGGACAGCCAGCCCAGCCCAGTCAGTGTCACACAGTAGGCGCTTAGTTGAATCAGGCCTGGAGTGAAGAAGAGCCTGGAGGAAATCAAAACATTTTGAACTATTCTCAACCAAGTAGTGAATCAATTCATTCATGGACAAGCTCTTCTTATCACCTTATAAACGTCTATATAATGAGCTAAAACACACCGCATAAGATAAGCATGGCAACATACTATACTATGAAATTACTTTGAACCCTCCACATTCCAAATTAAATCTCACAAACAACGGAAATTGGATGTTATAATAAGAGAATTCCACGTACAAATTCTTCATATAAAGTTTAAAGAAGAAAGAAATAAAAGAAACCCCAGCATACCAACAGATGCGGCAGTCAAAACATCATTCTTCGAATCTCTGGTGTGAAGGACCATCCTGGTTTTATAATGAGAATTCCTGGCATAAAAATCAGAGACTGCCATGGAAATGCAGCTCTGCGCCATCTTTCCAACTTGTGAATTGAAATCAAGAACCACTCCAACATGAACCAAGGCATTTGGACGGAGGGTTCTATTTTGAGCAGCAGTCGCAGAGCAGAGAGACAAGGAGATGAAACTGAAGAGAAGAAGATGATTCATGCTCACCATTTCGATGTCCCTCAGACATATCTAGTTCTAGCTTAGGTTCACTATTTATATGTATATGTCACACATCTATAACTGACCAATACTTCTCGATCGGTTGCACATTCCAAACATTTGCATCAGATCTCATTATACTAATACTAATCTGTTTGACGAGGTATTCCAATCCGATGGTCATTACATGAAACGTATTTGACAGGAACGGTCTGAACAAGTTGATAGAGGAAGAGAGAACTTTTAAAACGTGTTAGAGGGGTAAGTCATAAGCGTCACTGAACTGGCCAAAAGTTATGTAACCAAGTTTTAAAATATCGATACACTGAACCCGTCTATTTTGGTTTATTTATAGACAATGACAACTGATGTCACCAGCTTTCCAGTGACACCATTACTACATAAGTACATCATTGATGGACTTTTTACATTATACACCACTTCCAAACGCAGCCACAAGAACAACATAATCGGTACCCTAATATAAACCAAAATGTTGTAAAATTTTGATCCTTAGATGTAACTAGAGATGTCAATGGCATTGAGTTTGATACTGATTTTCTTTTTTGTTAATTCAACTGACTCTATCCCAAATCTGACCCAATAGGCTTAATTCCTTTTTCTTCTTAATTCAAACCTCACCTACATACTGCCCTAAGATTATATTTACAAATTTTGTCGGGATCAGGTAGACGACACACATAGTGAATACATGAGTAAGCATGTAGAAAATTTTGACACTTCTTCCTTAAAATACCTTTAAAAAAATATTAAAAACAACTGTCAGAATGTTTGCACAATCAGAATCAACTAAGGTAGATGCAATTAATCCAGTTAAAAAAAAGGAAAATCTTAATTTTGTATAGGGTCATGTCCTCTTTATCCTCTTTGGTGATATACGTTGAATATAATACTCATGAAATATGAAGCATTTACTCGGAAAGGTATGGAATCAACGAATCATACAGGCTTAGGCTCATCACTCTCTCTCTCTCTCTCTCTCTCAGGTGGGAAATGTTGTATCCTAGCACTATCGAAAATAAACAAAACAATGGTCGGTAGCAACTTGCACAATATATATTTTGTATATGACAACGTCTAAAGTTGGAAAATTTGTTACAACTTTCTGGAATTGTGGTCTCGTCGAAAGTAAAAGCCACCGAGGAAAAGTGTTTTCTTCACAAAACTGAAAAAGTAAAAGAATTAATGTTGAAAGTTTTGGTCCCCTTCACTGAACAAAAGAATGATCAAGATCAGCCAATCGACTGCAGATGTCTATTGATGACTCTAGTCTGATATTTGTTTTTTAATTTCCTCTTTTGAAAGTGTTCATCCATTAGACGAGAGTGGGTGATTGACCATTAATTGGAGCATTTGCTCAAGTATCTTATGGAGATAACAGACCAACTTACATCTCATCCAACTTGATTCATGCATTCATATTTGTACATTTAAATTTCAAATGTTTGTTTCCCTCTGTGTTTATTTCTTTCTACATAACAGTATATAAATACAACAATCTTCAATCGGCACTTCTGAATTTGAGAGTTGTCATTTCTCCACAAACCTTTGTTCTATCTTATCAGAACTGTGTGACTCTCGTCCTCTCTTGTTCTTCCTGTTCTCCTCTCCAACTATCTTAACAATGGAGAATAACAAAGATACTTATTAGGTTCTTCCACTACTGTTACTCCTGCTCAAACCTAGTCTCGTATTCAGCCAGTTTCATTCACTTCGTTCTCCAATGTTATTTCTGTGAAATTATCACGAAGAATTAAATGCTATGGTCCATGCAAATAATATCTGAAAGGACACTGCCCTTTATGGCTATGTTGATGGCTCATTTCCTTGCCCAAATAAGAATGCAGCCAATTCCTCTATTAAATCAAATTTTGAATACTTGACCTACGTTGAGCAAGACCGGCTTATCTTTCGCTGATTGCTCATTGCTCTCCTCTCTCACTGATGATGTACAAACTGTAAACATTAATGTGTTGGCCGAACCAGTTAGGGTTTATTGACTGAATTTCAAAAATTTTCATTCTCTAGATTTGGAGAACCAGATTCTCCTATGATCGATTTAGCATTGGATATATCGAACCAAATTAAATTTGAACATACCTAATACGGAGACCACAAGTTGTAATTCCCACAGTGTAGTGGTTCATGCCTAAGGTTCAAACCCAGACTCCCAACTCAAGATAGAACAGTTGATAATAAAGGTCGATCCTGCAACAAGTTTTAGTGAAATACACCATCTCCAACAAGCTTGGAATTTTGTAGTTGTGAAACCACTTCAACTTCTGATGTATTACAATGGATAAAACAGCAAAACTAACGAAAAAGCAATGACATTCAAAGCTGGTCCAAAAGAAGGTTTATGGGTAGCAAGAGAAAAGAGAAAGAGTGCAAAAACATGTAAGACGAGTGATAGTTGATCTCTCCCTCTTGTATCCTATATATAGACTCCAATCCTATTATAATTAGGACTATCCAAATTTGATTTGGTTACGTCTCAAATTAAATTAGATAATATGGAGATCTATAGCCATATTCGACCAATTGACTAGTATAACTCGTCTTACTAGTTAATGGGCTAAGGCCAATTACTTAAGTAGTTCAATAACATAACTATTGCAAGTCTTATTGGCTTGAATAATATATGGTGTAGGACCCACAAAGGTCTTATATCAGTCCATATGAGTTCAGCCCATGCTAGGAAACACATGGGCCAAATTCATTGTCCAAGGCAGTAACAACTGAGCCAATCGAATAGGGTAGAGTATGGATCCAACACTTAAGTCTAAATGACGTTTAGTTTCAGCCATCCTATGAAGCTCAAAGACAATGGGTCGACATGAGATAAAGGCTATTAGGTTTCAGCCTATAATGGCCTTTTATCTTTCAACCTCTCTCAACCCAAAATGATCAAATACTACTCATAGGTATGGGTGTCAATGGTATTCGAAAATCCAATTTTGAATTTAAGATTCAACATAATAGAATCAAATTTGAATATTTTGAATATCATAATTGGTCGAATTCGGATATCCTATTATCGTTTAAGTAATCAAATCGAATTCAAATATGACCTAATTTGATTCGATAAATATATGAATTTCACTGATTATTTAACTCTTCTATATATACATAAAATATTTAAACATTTTATATAATTTATATATAATATTTACATTAAATAAATAATTATATATTTATATACTTTATATAAATAAAAATTTTATTTTATATATTTATTACTCACCTAAAATAATTAATCAGTCGAATTTGAATCAAATCAAATATTCAAATTCGAAATCGAACATTGATTTTCAATATCTATTGGATATCAAATCAAATTTGGATATCAAGTTTTATAATCAAATTCGAATTCAGATATTGCTTGATTCAATTTGAATTTGATCCATTTACACCTCTACTCATAGGGAATGACCTCTTCCCTATAATTTTTAAATCCAGTGTCACACCCTCTATTCAGATGGATCCCAAGATTAAAACCTTATAGAAACCTTTTTATAATATAATATATCATAAATATAAAGAATTTTACAAAGAAATTTTAGAAACAATTGAAATTCACTTCTAGTAGTTTTAGGTTTCCATTAGAGGGGTTGTTAATCCTGATATTCTCTTTGTCTAATGAAGGGGTTGATCCTATCACAATGATCAACCACTCAAGTAATATTTGACACTGTTCCAACATACCCAGGTATTTGACCCTAAGAGGAAATCACTAGTTAGCATATCAAAAGTAGCTTGGTCAAGACCTAGTGCAATATCATTATCAATTATAAGGTTAAGTACAACTCTCTAGTAAGGGTGAGCATTATTCGGTTAAAACCGAAATACCGAACTGAAAATTTCGATTCCATTTTTTTTGGTTTTTGGGTAATTTGGTTCGGTTAATTCGGTTAACCAAAAAACCGAATTAAGTAAAATTTATTATATAATATGTAATATATAATAATATATAACATTTAATATATAATATTATATATTATATATATTATATAATATATAGTTTATAATATATAATATTATATATTAACTAAGTTCAGTTTTTAACCGAAAATTTTGGTTCAGTTATTTTGGTTTATTCGATTTAGTTTTTAACCGAATAAACTGAATGCTCACCCTTACTCTCTAGTTTTGTCCATCTGTCTCCAAAGTATAGGGCATAGCTGAAAATTTGGTTAATGTTCAATGTTTCTTACAAACACCCACTAATTGTACTTAGGATCTAACCCCAACAAGTAAGACAAACTACTCCACCACTTCAGTAGTACATTAGTGCCATTGTCATGATATGAAGGGATGAGAGATCCATCCCATGGACGCCCAAAGATTGCGGAATAAGGGGCGAATTTCAAAATTTTTTTTTCTTCCTTCAACTGGGAATCATATTCCCTATTTAGAAAATCATATTTTCAAGGATCATTCTTGAACCTTAAACTGAATCAGATCTGAACCAAAAGGAGCATGAGAGAATTATACCTGATACGRAGAAGTAGTATCTCCCAACGAAGGTGTTCACGCCCGAGGAAGGAACCAAAGCCTGCTCCCACTGAAAATGGCGCAGTGCAGGTGGAGCAGAATCAACAGTGTTCTTCTCCAAGAACTCTGTCCTTCGCAAGGATCAGCAAGATGGTACGTGAACACAATATCCTTTCAATCCTTTCTCAAAGAAATGATGTCAAGATCCAATCTTGACTTCTCCCACAACTGGAGATCGAACAGGCAAACAGGGCAGCAAGAATAGGGAGGCGGCAAAAGGGTATTCGCAGGGAGCAGAATTCTCTTCTTGATTTTTGGTACTAGAGAAAATYTGTTGTCTGTGTATATCTAAAAGCTGCCGCCCCCTTCTTCTTTTGTAATCTTAAAGGGAT